GCACAGGAGGCACTCACTCATCTCTGCCAAGAAATTTGGAAGACAACTATCTGGCTGACTGATTGGAAGAAATCCATGTTTGTGCCCATTCGAAAGAGAGGTGACCCAACGGAATGCGGAAATCATCGGACAATCTCCTTGATATCTCTTGCAAATAAAGTTTTACTAAAGGTAATACAGAAACGGCTACAATCATACATTGACAGAGAACTGCCAGAGGTTCAAGCCAGATTCAGAAGAGGCCGTGGAATGAGGGCTATCATTAGTGATGTCCGATGGATTTTGGCTGAAAGCAGAGAATATCAGAAAGATGTTTGCCTCTGCTTTATTGACTATGCAAAGGCTTTTGATTTGTGTGGATCATGACAAGCTATGGACAACATTGCGAAGCACGAATAATCCGGAACACTTAATTGTGCTCATGAGCAATCTGTACCTGGACCAAGAGGCAGTTGTTTGAACAGAACATGGGGACACTGAATGGTTTAAAATTAATAAAGGTGTGCGAAAAGGTTGTATTCTTTCACCATACTTTTTCAACCTGTATGCTGAGCAAATAATCAGAGAACCTGGCTTATATGAAGAAAAATGTGGCATCAGGATTAGAGGAAGACTCATTAAAACCCTGCAATATGCAGATGATACAACCTTGCTTGCTGAAAGTGAAGAGGACTTAAAACTTAAAAAATAAATAAATAAAAGAAGAGGTATTTGACTTACATCATAATCGACTTAGTCAGGGATCGACTTAATCAGGGACTGATTTAGTCAGGAACTACCTGTACTTGACATAAATTTTTCAGATCAACTCAAATCTCAGGAACTGTCTGTCTTCCAAGTGGAGTCCCTGGGTGGTGTAAATAGTTAACACCTTCAGCTGCTAAACAAAGTGTCGAAGGTTCGAGTCTTAACACCCTTAGCTGCTAACCAAAAGTGTGGAAGACAAGGTCTACCCAGAGACTCCTCAGAAGGAAAACCTTGTAATCTACTTCCAAAAAATTAGTCACTGAAAGTTCTCTGGAGCACAGTTGTACTCTTGATGCACATAAGGTTACCGTGAGTCAGAATTTACTGACAGCAACTGGTCTTGTAGTCCTTCAGGTGGTGACTAGGAAAGATGTGTGTAAGGAGAAATACAATCTTCCTCCTTTATTCTGGTGCCCAGCCTGAATACAGGTTGAAGTAAGATGGTTTGTCCAGGCCTGGGCTGATAAGTCCACAGCTTCATCTCTTTACTGGACACTGCAAATCAGGCTGGGCCTTTGCTTCAGAGGCCAACAGTTCAACCAGAACCCAGCAGCAGCTACTTGACTTTATTCCCCTGGAAGCAAGTAGTTTAAGTCCTACACATGGCCCTGGGCAGATTCAGACTCCAATCCCTCCAAAAGCACAGCCAGTTCCATACAGACATGCCTGAACTGAGTCTTCCTGATCTAAAGCCCTGTGTAGGACAGGAAGAGCGAGTTGCCAAAACAACCCCTAGATCTGAAGTATCTAAACTCCGAAACAAAAGCACCTAGGGGAGCTTATGATTGTTGTTAAGTACCGTAAAGTCGGTTCTGACTCATAGCGACCCTGTATAGGGTTTCTGAGGAGCCGCTGATAGGCTTGAACTGTCAACTTTGCGGTTAGCAGTCCAGTGCTTATCCTAAAGTGCCATACCAGAACTCAGCATGCAGAATTCAGAAACCATTAAGAATGCAGCACATCTCACTGGATCAGAAGTGATTCTGATCTAAGGTGAACTACACCTTGGTCTCCTTGACATCACTGGTAAGGAGCTCTAGTAGCGTAGGGGTTACAAATCAGGCTGCTAACAGCAAGGTCGGCAGTTCGAAACTACCAACAGTTCCACAGGAGAAAGATGAGGCTTTCTGCTCCTGTAAAGATTTACAACCTCGGAAACCCTGTACAGGGTCGCTATGAGTCGGAACTGACTCCATGGTACTTAACAACAACAACAACTCTTCTTTTTCAACTTCAAGAGAGAAGGAACTCTGGCTTTCTGAGTGTGATCTTTCCCTTCCTTTCCTACTTCTTTTTGGAATCAGGGCTTCAGTCCAGTTCTACCCCCGGCTGAGAATATATATATATGTCTGAGGTGGCAATACCAATTCTCATCAGTGTGTTCAGCTGGAATGAAACAGTTCAAAGGTCAGTTTGGAACTGTGTTAAACAGCACATAAGGAAAATTCTCTTGAGGGAAAGAATAATACTCACCAGGGGCTGTGATGCCCAATACTCCCAGGGTTCCCAGCTGCTTCCAAAATTCCTGTTAACAGAATAGCATGAGTAGTGAGAAAACAGGTGCCTAGCACACCTGGAGCAAAAAGACTCAAATGCTTCAGAGAAAGGGGTTACATTTTTAGGGAGGTCTCATTTTCCAGAAGTCTGAGTGCGTGCTTTAGGCAACAGAGTAATTCCCAGCCGGCCCAGCAACAACAGACTGCCCACTGTCCCCAGGCCTGAGCCTCACAACTCACTCGAAGGTTCTTGAATTCATTGCTTTGATCAATCTCCTGGGCCTTGGGGGCCAAGTGCTCCTGAAGGAATTTAACCATGGTATGGCGAAGCTAGAGGGAGAGAGTTAGACAAATTTGTGGAAACCAGTACATGAATACTTCTGAAAGCAGTCCTCCATTACTGGGGAAACAGCCCAATCTTCCAGATCACAAGGAACCTCACCAAACAACATCAAACTGTAATTTTAAGGCCCCACTAGTTTATGCTTCCTCAGACTGTCTTCACCCCTTTTTATTATAAAATAATTCAATGTCTTCCCCTTGTATGCACAATAAAACACAAGCTAAGAGACCCTGCAAGAGTTGCCCTCTGCCTACCTTTCAGCCTTCCCTAGAACCTTTCTCACTTCCTGTACCATGCATGCGCCAGCCACTTCTTCTCAGTTCTTGGCAGAGTCCAGCTGTCTTCTGGCCCAGCCCATATGATACGGGGATTACACAGAACCAAAAAGAAATAAACCCATGGCAAATTATCAGCCTGTAGTTCCCATTAGTCACAAGGAATGAACAGTAAATTAAGAGTGGAAAGGTAACAAAAAGTAGATAGAGAAGCCGTCAAAAAGTTCATGGGAAAATTCCATTATATTTTAAATCTATTTTTCCAGGAAGTTTTGAAGCCCCTTCATACATTATGGTGGTGGTTATGTGCCATGGAGTCGGTTCCAACTCATAGAGACCCTGTAAAGGGTTTCCGAGGCTGTAAATCTTTATGGGAACAGAAAGCCTCATCTTTCTCCCGTGGAACAGCTGGTAGTTTTGAACTGCTGACCTTAAGGTTCACAGCCCGATTCGTAACCACTACGCTACCAGACATTATAGCTTCTAAATACACAGAAAGAAAAAGAAAGAGGGAAAGGGAGGGAGAGAGAGAATATATATACGTACACACCACACCCTCCTTTTCGTGTGCGTGGGGGGCGGGAGGGCTCAAGGAGCCCTTCTGGCATGGTGGTTAAAGCACTCTGCCACTACCAAAAAGGTCTGTGATTTGAACCCACCATTAGCTCTGCAGTAGAAAGATGTGGCAGTCTGTTTCCATAAAGATTTACAATCTTGGAAATCCTATGAAGCAATTCTATTCTATCCTGTTGTTGTTAAGTACCAACAAGTTGGTTTTGACTCATAGCAGCCCTGTATAGGGTTTCCAAGGAATGGCTGGTGAGCTTGAACCACTGACCTTTTGGTTCAAACCAACCTTACATTAACATGCAGTGCCACACCAGGATTTCATTCTGTCCTAGTGGGACATTCTGCTATGAGTCAGAATGACTCTGGCAATGGGTTTTGTTTTGATTATGGGCTTTGGCGTTCAAATCATTGCCAATTGCAATAAGGGAATCACATTTGTGGGAACTCCATTCAGTTTTCAGTGTGAGCACACACCTCCCATTATAGGAAATGTAGGAAATTATAGGAAATGCTCTGTTTGTAAGCACATAGCTTAATTTCTTGGTCAGTTTTGTGCTTTGACGTTGTTGCTGTTGTTAAGTGCCATCCAGGTGGTTTCGACCCATAGCGACCCTATATAGTGTTTCCAAGGTTGGTGGACCTTGCAGTCCAGAGCATTAACGTGCAGGGCCACATATGCTAAAGAATGAAAACCAGATCACTTTGTGCATTATGGAACCTCACCTGGAGGGTATTCAAAAAGATTCTCTGGTGATGATATCAACCAGCCTTCCATCAGTGCTGAATTATAAGTGGACTTCATACAGATCGAAGGCCCGTTTACTACAAACTGGAGTCGCTGGATGGCGCAGTTGTTCAGTGCCTAACAACTACTTCAGCCACTCTGAAATGCCTTGGAAGAAAGGCCTGGCGGTCTACTTCCGAAAGTCATGGCGCTGAAAACCCTATGGAGCAGTTATCCTGAAGTCGCCCTGAGTCAGAATCAACTGGACGGCAACCAGCTACCATAGCATGTAGCCCCCGCTCCTTCACCAAAACATCAGTTTACTCAAGGGTTTTCCTCTGCTCTTTTCCTCACCTTCCTCAGCCCTGCCTTGCTAGCTAAACTCTTTCCTCCACAGAGGTGAGCCTAAGCATAAAGGGTGAAGACGAGGGCCTCTTCCCCACCACCCAAGCCCCATGAACTTAAACCGCAGTTGACTGGGCGTTAGGTAGAAGAACGCGGAAAGGTCAGCAAGGCCGAAGGGGCCTGACATGAGGCCTTCCGGCTGGGAAGAGGGTCCATCTCCCTACCTGCTTCTGTTCTGCACTCAGCCCATTGATCGTATCATCCACCGGCAACACCGAGTGAGCCCTCTGGGAAATTAGGCCGGAGAGCGGCGGCACTAACGGCCGCAGTCTCCAGCTCCCAACACACGAACCCAGACGCCAAGCTGCAGTCGCCATCTCTGCCCAGTACCCCGATCGGGAGCTACTATTGAGTCGCGGCTCCACCAATCACCGGTTGCGCCGTCCGGGATGGAGGGTGGGTCTCGAACAGCCTATCAGCGTTCGCTGCTCACTGAAGGCGGTGCTGCACTTGGCCAACACACAAACCAACTGGCTGTGGCCGCCAGCTGCTGGCGAGTCCGCGTTTCCTGAGTAGCCGGGAACTGGTGTGTGCTGGCAGAGTTGGGCCTGCGACCATCGTTCCTAGTTTGGGTGTTTTGGGGTAGGAGATCAAGAAAAGTGAAATTCCTTTTGAAGTGGAAGTATATTTCCCCCCCTGTATGGGAACAGCCTCTAGTAACAGCAGAATTGTATCTTCGTAGAGACGCAAAGTGTTACAACCGTACGGAGACTTCCCCAAATAACCCGTAAACTAAGTCCGTTGCTGTGAGGGGTGGATTCAGACTCATAACGACCATAAGGTGGTGGTGTGCGGTGGAGTCGGTTCCGACTCATAGTGAGCCTGTACAAGGTTTCCGAGGCTGTAAATCGTTATGGGAGCAGAAGACCTTATCTTTCTCCCGCGGAACAGCTGGTAGTTCAAACTACTGACCTTGAGGTTAGTGACACAATTCGTACCCAGAAGGTGCCATGGGCTGCCATATTGTCAGGAGGGACCGGTAACTGGAGGATATCATGTTTGGTAAGGTGGAGGGTTAGAGAAAAAGAGGAAGATCCCCAACGAGATGGATTGGTCAAGTGGCAGCTATGGGTCGGTACCGACTCAATGGCACCTAACAACAACAACAACGCTACCAGAGCTCCCATAGCGGGAAGAGTAAAACTGCGCCAGAGGATTTCAAGGTGACTCTACGGCACATAATCACCACTCTTCACGGAAGCAGATTGTCACTTGTTTCTGCCAAGAAGTTGGTGGATTCCAACCACCGATCTTTTCTTTCGATTAACAGCAGCTGAGTGCTTATTAGCCACTGCGCGCCACCCCAAACCCACTGCCATCAGTAGATTCTGACTCGTTGTTAAGTGCCATCGAGTCGATTCCGACCCATAGCAACCCTGTATAGGGTTTCCAAGGAGCAGCTAGTGAGCTTGAACCACTGACCTTGCAGTTCAAATGACTTTGCAGTCTGACGCATTAGCCCACAACACCACACCAGGACTCCTTCTGACTCATTGTTGTGTTGTTGTTATGTGCCGTGGAGTCGGTTCTGACTCATAGCGACCCTGTACAGGGTTTCTGTGGCTGTAAATCTTTACATCTTTCTCCCGCGGAACAACTGGTAGTTTCGAACTGCTGACCTTGATTCTCGCAGCCCGATTCGTAACCACTACGCAGTGACCTTTATAAAATCTTTATAAAACGTACAAGTAGAACTGCCCTTCAGGATTGCCAAGGTTGTAATGTTTATGGAAGCAGATTGACACATCTTTTGCCCCTGGAGCAACTGGTTGGTTCCAATTGTAGATCTTTTGATTAGCAGTACCTTTACTGCCAATACTAAATATGAGCAACTGACTTGAACTAGAATGCCAAAAAATTCAGGTGACTGGCCCTATTTTTTTATTTTGATATTTATAGGATGTTTAACTATGAATGGAGCTCTGGGAGCATAGTCGGATTGATAATCTCAAGGTCAGTAGTTGGAAATTGCCATCAGTTCCGTGGGAGAAAGATGAGGCTTTCTGCTCCTGTAAAGATTGACAGCCTCAGAAACCCTATACAGGGTTGCTGTGAGTCGAAACTGACTCCACGGCACACCACCACCAATACTAAATGTCAAACCCACTGGCCACTCCTTGGAAACTAACTACACAGGGTCACTATGAGTTGGAACTGAAGCCACAGCGCTTAACAACAACTACTAAATGTCCAGTATATGGAAATAAATGGTAAAATAAACTCTGGATCGCTGAGATTAGGAAAGTAGTGTGCACACTGGCCACAATTTAATTAAATTACCTTTGGTAGTATAACATGACTTGTTGATGATGGTTTCTTGTTTTATAAGAAAGGGTGGTTAAAGAGTTACTGTCTTCCTCAGGGTTGTTTTTTTTTTTTTTTTTTTTCTTCTTCTTCTCTATTTTTTAACAGCTTGAAGGCATAGGCTGTCTGCTGGAAGGCAACCAACTCAAATGGGATTGTGTAGTGGCCATGGGCAGTGAGACGTGCAGAGGTCTAGCAGTGAGCAGCATTCCAAGGAGAGGCTGGTCGGTTTGAACCACCAGCCTTGTGGTTGTTAAGTGCTGTGGAGTCAGTTCTGACTCATAGCAACTCTGTATAGGGTTAGCAAGGAATGACTGGTGGGTTTGAACTGCCAACTTCATAGTTCACAGTCCAATGCTTATCCGACAGTGACACACCAGGATTCCATTAGTGAAGTGAGGTTACAATTTAGGGTTTGGAATGACTCAATTTATAGTTAGAGGAGAATATTGAAAGTACCGTGGTCTGCCCATAGAACCAACAGATCTGTTTAGGAAGAAGTGCAGCCAGAGTGCTCCTTGGAGGCCAAGATGGCCAAACTTCATCTCTCATACTTTGGACATATTGTCAGGAAGGACCAGTCGCTAGACAAGGATATCATGTTTGGTAAGGTGGAGGGTCAGAGAAAAAGAGGAAGACCCCCAATCAGATAGATTGGCCAAGTGGCAGCTTCAATGGGTTCAAGCGTGGCAACAATAGTGCAGTTGGCCCAGGATCAGGCAGTGTTTCGTTCTGCTGTGCATAAGGTTGCTATGAGTTGGCACCGATTCGGTGTCACCTAACAACAACAACAACAACATAGTTCTTCAGTCAGGATAATTTATTGATTGTGCCTCTCTCGGCTCCTTGGCCTCTGCCCTACTTGGGAAAGTGTTACAAAGTTCTTTAGATTCACCAACAAATTCTTGGATATTTCGTGCTCCATTCTACTAGGAAACCTCCTTCTTGAAGGCACTAAGCTCTCTTGCTCTGTGGGTCAGCACACCCAATGTAGCTGCCTTTCTCAGTGGGTTGGGAAACCCATCATAGCCTCCTTGTTCCAGTCTCCTAGCTCTGCTGCTGACATTTCTCTGTTACCACTTCTCTCACTGTGTCTGGTTTCTTGTCTCTTGCTGTCTCCTGATTTAAGAGTTTTCAGCATAGGACTGCTGGTCCAAGAGATGCACTCCGTTCCCATTTCTTGTAGTGAGGTCTGCTGTGCTCAGGAATTGGCTCTCTTTTTAAACATACTATGATGGAAAAATTGACAAATCCCTTTATTAGGTTTCATACACCTTACTTCCATATCCTGCTTCACCTTAACACCGCTCTTCTGTCAGTTTGTCATACTGTGGTGGCTCACGTTTTGCTGTGATGCTGGAAGCTATTCCACTGGTATTTTAAATCAGCAGGGTAATTCATGGAGGACAGGGTTCAGGTAAGCTTTCGGATTCAGACAGTCTAGGAAGAAGGAGAGGCACACTACTTTGGAATGTTTAACCACTGAAAACCTTATAAAAAGCCGGGAAACACTGACAGAGAGCACCAGAATATTGAATATTGAAACATGATGAATAGCACCAGAATATTGTCAGATAGAGTGCCGGAAGATGAGTCCCTCAGTTTGGAAAGCACTCTGAATACTACTGGGAAGAGCTACCACCTCAAAGTAGAGTTGACCATGATGACATGAATGGAGTAAAGCCTTGTTGTTGTTGTTGTTAGGTACCAACTCATAGCAACCTTATGCACAGCAGAGTGAAACACTGCGTGATCCTGGGCTATCCTCACTATTGTTGCCACACTTGAGTCCATTGATGCTGCCACTTGGCCAATACATCTCATTGGGGATCTTCCTCTCTTTCTCTGACCCTCCACCTTACCAAACATGAGATCCTTCTCCAGTGACTGGTCCTTCCTGATAATATGTCTGAAGTATGAGAGACGAAGTTTGGCCATCCTGGCCTCCAAGGAGCACTCTGGCTGCACTTCTTCCTAAACAGATTTATTGGTTCTTTTGGTGGCCCATGGCACTTTCAATATTCTCCTCCAATACCATAACTCAAAAGCATCAATTCTTCTACAGTCTTCCTTATTAACTGTCTAGCTTTCACATGCATATGAGGTTATTGAAAATACCATGGCTTGGGTCAGGCGCACCTTAGTCCTCAAGCTGACATCTTTGCTCTTCAACACTTTAGAAAGTTCCTGTGCAGCAGATTTGCCTAATGCAATATGTCGTTTGATCTCTTGACTGCTGCTTCTGTGAGTGTTGATAGTTGATCTAAGAAGAATGAAGTCCTTGACAACTTCAATCTTTTCTCCATTGATAAGAATGTTGTTTATTGGCCCAGTGGTGAGGATTTTTGTTTTCTTGACATTGTGATGTAATCCATACCGAAGGCTGTGCTCTTTGGTCTTCATCAATAAATGTTTTAAGTCCTCTTCACTTTCAGCTAGCAAGGTTGTATCATCTGCATATCGCAGGTTGTTAATGAGTCTTGCTCCAATCCTGATGCCACGTTTTTCTTCATATAAGCCAGGTTCTCTGATTATTTGCTCAGCACACAGGTTGAATAAGTATGGTGAAAGAATACAACCTTGTCACACACCTTTGTTAATTTTAAACCATTCAATGTTCTGTTGGAGTCCAGCCTTGACGGGGGTGGGCTTCATGAAGATGAGATGTCTGGAAGGCGGGAGAAAAAGATTAAAGACAAAAGACACAGACACACATATTTGATGCAAGCTGACAGACAGAATAGTCCTGCTGCCAAGAATGCATGCAGAACTAACTCTACCTCAATCTTTTATTTTCACATAGAAGGAAGTAAAAAGGATGGGTGTTCATTACAGAAAAATGTGGTTATTCATTTAAGACAAATTTTAGTGATTCACAAAAATTCTTAAGACATTTTGTGAACATCATGAGTTCTGTGCTAATCTAAGATCATTATCATGTAAAAGTTTAAGCAATCCATTACAGTTTATACATTGACCTCTAGGTCCTCATGACCCAGGGAAGCTACGTGCAG